GGGTAGATCGATAAATCTGTCACTACGCTTAGGTGTGAATGTTGCATGAGTGGGCTCAGTTTAGGCCATCGATAGCCTAGTTAGCAAATTCTATTAGGACAGAGGTTCCATCGCATAACACCGATTCCTTTTAACCAAATGCGAGCGCACACATATTTCTGGCATCAAAAGGCACATCTGACACTTAACTTAACAATAGGGTAAGGATGCAGTGAAAAAATTAGCGGTATTCCACCTGAATGGCAAGATCAAATTTGAACTCTTTCACTAACCAACAGAAATTCCCAGAGTGACTAATGCATTATTGTGAATATTATAGTGTTACTAACACAGCGATGTCGGTAGAGAATTATATTCGCCGACCTTTCGGTTACCGTGGGTAGCCCTTCTCAAGACAGGTTTTAAAGTCAAATGACTCAGAGAACAAATGCATTCTATTTAAAATGCCAGTGGCAACAACCTGTCACCTACAACTTCTCCTTTCGCATCTCAGCTTCGTCACATAGGTTCTTGTCCTTATTGGATCATTGATCAATCCATCGCATGTTTCAAATGCAAAGAAATCGACCGTCTCAAGCCACTGAAATAAAAACCGGCCGGTTCATCCGTGAAAAAAATGCACAAAGCGTTTTCTACTAACCGGACTGGGTCAGAGTGAAACCTATATGTTCAGGTAGACATCGGTGACTACGGTGGAGCTGAATAATAATGTGGAAAGGCTTGAGTTTTCAATCGCCCAGCTCAGATCAGTTCAGATAAGAACAAATGCAAATCTTTTAGAATCCTATCCGACGTTAGACAACGCATAAATTTCAGATATTTTGGCTTGTTTGCCTGTTTTATGTTCTCACACCGGGATATCTAGAATTTAGGGGTTGGATAATGGTATCATCACGTAGGCTTATCGTTGGATAGGATTCTACGAGATTTGCATAACGGTTCCATCTGAGCAGTGATAGATAGCGCCATTACCCAATCTTTCTTGGTACCAATTTATGAGTGGTGTCTGTAATAAATTCCACGAACAATCGTTTTGTGCATTCAGACTAAAAAGTTTAGGGTTTCTCTTTGGTGCACCACTCTAACCATAGTAACTTCATACGCGCTAACAGGTAAAATTGAATTATCCATAATCAACCTTCTATAATTCACGAATAAGACGGGCAGCAGAATACTGAGTTGATCCGCCTCTGAAAAGGGAATCGTTATATGCACGAGACTCGGTGGGTTATTGGAGAGAGAAATATTTTCACCCGATCACTCAGTTTGTAACACCCATCCATGAGTTATCTCTGATAAGGGTTCGAAATGAAGACCTGTCACTTAACCTCCATCAGTGAATGGATATTCACTGACATTGGTTACCATACAAAGTTATTTAGTTGCAAGTAATCAACACTGAAAGGAAAAATCATTTTCAAACAGTTCGAGTTATCAAAACTGGAAGGCACTGTCCACGCACATTTCGACTGTCTGTTTTCTAATGATCAGGCATAGGTTCGTATGTAGGTTGGAGTATTCCCGGAACGTGTTCTCACACAACGGAATGATATCCCTTATATTGGCCGCTTTCCCCTTCCTGAAAATTGCATCTTTGTATATTCAATAAAAAGGAAGCAAAATGAAAGAAAAAATTTCATTGGGGTACAAACAGAATTGAGCAACCGGTTAAAGCAGTACCAGTCAGTGTGTGGGGGGCGGGGGGGGNACGACTCAACTGAGAATACTGACAGCGTTGTGCAAAAAAGACACCCGATGACGAGACATCAGTCACGTTCCTGGTAAAAGTAGAAGGATTACATAATAATCGACCCCTCATTCCCGTTTCCAACAATGAAGTGCAAGGTTTCGTGCTGACGCCCAGTAATCTGCTGCTTCTGCTTGAATGGAATTGCATGGTTGGTATATTTGAGAAACACTGGACACGAAAACATCTATCACCCCCGCAAGGTTGGCAAAATGGGTCCAACAAGAACGGTCACTCACTGTTGAAGATGTTGTTCTGTTGGCTGATGAGAAGCTCTCACGCTACTGTTAACCACTTTGTCTAGTTCTGGAATGTCACGCAGACTCTGATGACCTGGTACGTAGACGGTGAACTTGAAAAAGTTCGCGAGTGAGCAGTAACGTGACATTTGTAAGGTTCGCCTATTGGACGGGGATAACTGACAGCTCATCACTTGATGAAGATGGCAATTAGCGGTTACACGCAAGTCACTTCTATATATATTCGGGTTTTATCATTTTTTTCATTGCAAACAGCCCTCTTTCTTCAAACAGCCCATCGCGTCCAGCGCTCTTACATTCGTATCACGTATTCCCCCTGAACTAACTTGTACCAAGTGCCCATGTTCCTGAGCTATTTGCATACAGACAGTTACGCGCCACATCTAGGCATTGAGCCCCTTAGTTTAAGCTTTGTGACTAATTTTTTCAGTTCAATTCACTCTTACTTTGACACACAGAACTCACCGCTGGTTCACACATCCTCACAATACCCTTGCAGTCGTGCATACGTACATATAATTATACAGGTATCAAACACGCTCAAATCTGTTAGCACGAGTGTGAAATACTTTATTTGCATGGGCTTCTTTTTCGTTTCAACTTCTTGGACTATATCTGGATTAGTGGACATTATTTCATGACCGAATATCCAGTCCACAAAGACAGTTTACTGAGAGCCTGTGAAAGAAAACTGAAGAGTTGAACGCAAGGAAATTTAAGTCGTCTGATACCATCCAAGATCAACGAGGGTGAGGAGAAGTAAACAAGTTGTAATTAAAAGTACTGGGTCAATGTGCTTAGGCAGGTCGGTAGGTGGATAAGAATCAGTAGCTTACGCCAACCCTTTGGCTATGACAAGAGCAAAAGGATTCGAGGGGGAGAGATGCCTACAAAGCCTTCCCATTTTTCCGAAATTCTCCTTAAAATAACTTAATTTGTTTCTTCTTCGATTAACGTCGTATGCCATACATACACACACGAGCCAACACGAATTAGTCCAGTAGTTTATTTGATGCCCGCCACTTTTCAACTTGGTGAGGAAACATCTCGTGTCTGACACGATTCCTTTCCTCGGATTTTGCATTTTTTTCTCGGTACTTGAGTGCTTTTGACAACATAATTGGGGTTTATGTGGTATTTGCACACCTCATGGTGTTTTTTAATTTAGTTAAGTAGATTACTACGAGTTTCTTTTGTTTCCATTTACGGTTCGTTCCGAATTTGGCTACACGTCACTCATTTGCGATTATTTTGACGCACACTCCCTTGAACCAGTCTTGGTTGGTCAGGTGTCCA